CCTCACCAGGGCCTTGAGTCCTGAGTGAGTCTCTGTCAATCTGGGGATGAAGGTGGAGATCGGAGGAGGCAGGGCCCGGGGTGCCCATGGTTTGGGGGAGCGAGGGTTGATGGGCAATCTGGGCCTGTGGGACCCTTCTGGGGCCTCAGTATCCTTCTCTGAAAAATGGGGGCAACACCTAGGTCCCCATACCAGCCAGCTGCAAAAAAAAAAAGAAAGAAAGAAAGAAAATAAAATGGGGGCACTCATTTATCCCTTGACTCAATTACCAGCCCTGTACCGGCCACTGGAAATTTAGCTAAGAACAAGAGCGATAAAAATAAATCCCTTGCCTCACAGAACTGATGTCCCAGCGGACACTGAAGTAGAAAATGTTCAGCAAGGACCTTTCATGTTTTTCTCCCACCCTGCTTTCTCCTGATGCTGCTTCGGATCTCTGGCTGCCCGGTGTTAATTATTTGAGTAATTGAGGCCCCGAACCCCTCGCCGCCTCACCTGCTGCCTCTCACCACCTCCAGCTGAACCAGCCTCCTCACTGCTCCTGAAACTCGACGAGCTCATCTCCACCTCAGGGCCTTCGCACTTGCTTTTACTCTTCTTGAAAAGCTTCCCCCCAATCTTGCACACCTTGCTCCCTCCTGTCCATCTGCTCAGCTCCTCCCTCCTGTTCATTGTCCAGCCCACCATACTTGCATCCTCACGAGAGATTATCTTGGGCATTTACCAGCTGTGTGGCCTTGGGCAAGAGACTTACCCTCTCTGAGCTTCCATTTTCTCATCTATAAAAGGACGCTGGTAATTTCACCACTTAGGGCTGAGGATTAAGGGGTTACTACAATCAAGTGCTTAGAACAGCCCCTGGGACTTTGCATTACTGAAACGTTTGTTGTTATTATTTCTACAGTTATTTTTTTTATTATGCATATATATGTATGTATGTATGTATATTTAGCCTGTCTCCCTTAACTAGAATGTTGGAGGGGGACATACCTACTACAGACATTTAAAGCCATGAGGCAGTTCAACCCCTAAAGAGGTGGTATCCCTGCACTGGTTTTATCTAAAAGCAGAAAAACCTCTGAAAACATTGTATGTCCCAGTCCTGCCTGGAGCTAATGGGGGATCTATAGACAGAATCAGGAAACTTTGGGTTGGGAGAATGCAGGTTCTGGCAGGAAGTTCTGTTCCCCTCTGATTTATCCCTTTCCCTTTTCTACCTGAGAGAATGGCCCCAACCCCCAGGAACCAACCCTCCCAGCAGACAATTCCCACGCTGGAACCTGGGGGGCTGGGAAGTTACACTCACAAGGGGTTGCTGTCACCTGTGTGTGGATAAAGCCTTGGAGTCCTGACATAATAAAATGACAAGGATTTACAGAAACCTATGAATTAGCAAGGATAGGTCTTGATCTCTGAGCAAGAATCAAATGGGCCCCTGTCAGTGCCAGGCACTGGAGAAGTTTGGGACACAGCCCCTCAGTGCCCGAGTTGTACCCGTGAATGGTGAGACTCAGGCAGGATCCAGAAGTGTTGCTGTATTATCCTAATTCCATTGTGGGTTCTTTTTCATTGGCTTGCCTTCTTCAGAGAGAATCAGGGCTCCGGGGTCCCCGTGTCGGGCCCCAACCTGTCGACCACCCGGCCGATCCAGCAGGACCTGGGCCGCCAAGATCCGCCGCTGGCCGAGGACATTGACAACATGAAGAACAACAAGCTGGCCACTGCGGAGCCGGCCAGTCCCCACGACAGCCTCGGCCTGCCCCAGAGCCCGGCTAAGATGGGGAACAGCACCGACCCAGGCCCCACTCCGGCCCTACCCGCCACAGCCACCAACCCCCAGAACGCCGCCAGCCGCCGGACACCCAACAACCCGGGGAACCCCTCCAACCCCGGCCCCCCTAAGACCCCCGAAAACAGCCTTATAGTCACCAACCCCAGCAGCACCCAGACCAACTCAGCTAAGACTGCCAGGAAACCTGACCACACCACGGTGGACATCCCCCCAGCCTGCCCGCCCCTCAACCACACCGTCGTCCAAGGTGAGACCCCCACACTTGTGCCTCGCCGGGTGGGGCATCCCTAGATGCCGGGCTGTCTGGACTCAATTCCCAGAAGCTCTGCTGGGTGGCCCTGGACAGTGAGCTCACCTCTCTGGCCTCAATTTCCTCCCCTGGAAAATGGGTACAGACATCGTTCCTAGCCTTCAGAGCCGTGGGAGGATTAGGTGAGATGCTGTGCGGACGGCTCCCGGCACAGGGACACACGCGGCACGGTGGTCAGTATTCCTGCCTCCTTCAGCCCCTTAAGGGAGCCAGGAAACCACCACATTTGAGGAGCAATGGATTTCTCTGATGGAAATTTGGAAATTTGGGGTGGGGGGAGTCAAATGATTGTCTAGGCTCAGTGCTGTCCAAGAGAAACGTCACACAGGCCACATGTCATTTTAAACTTTCTAGTAGCCACATGAAGGAAGGAAGGAATTTAAAAATATAAAAGAAACAGTTGAAATGAACTTTAATAATATATTGTGTTTAGCCCCAAATTTTCTTTATTTATACCCAAAATGTTAGCATTTCAACATGTAATTCATATTTTAAAAATTATTGAGATATCTTATATTCTCTCTACTTGGTCTTTGAAATCTGGTTGTGTGTTTTTCACTTACAACACGTCCCCATTTGCACTATCTGCCTTTTGGGGGCCCAGAAGCCACACGGGCCAGTGGCTACCGTATTGGACAGCACAGGGCTAGACTCTGGAGGGTCTGGCAGTTTCTGCCCCCATCAGATCAGGATCAGAGAAACACAGGAATTTAAAAATGAACCACTGAGCATATTATTTCCTAAGATGATCACAGTAACTCAGTTCCTTCAGGGTCAGTTCTGTGCAAGAGATTTCCATGGTTTTGCTCAACAAATGCTTGCCACAGTCCTAAGTCCATCTTGTCATTGTGCCCATTTTACAGATGAAGAAACTGAGGCTCAGAGGGGCTCAGCCTGCCCACGGACACACAGCTAGGCTAGGCTGCAGACCATGGTTTTGCTCAACAAATGCTTGCCACAGTCCTAAGTCCATCTTGTCATTGTGCCCATTTTACAGATGTAGAAACTGAGGCTCAGAGGGGCTCAGCCTGCCCACGGACACACAGCTAGGCTAGGCTGCAGAATCGATGCTCGGGAGGGTGGTGGCTACTCACCCCACTCGGGAGAGGGGTGCTTATGAGAAGAAGCCCTCCAGTTTGACTGTGAGAGAACTCAGTGTTTCCATCTGTAAAGTGGGCTGTTGGCATTCACCCTACCTGCCACCAAGTGACAGTATGAAGGTCGAACAGGATGGGGGCAGGTCTGTGTTCATATCCTGTGAGGATCTCACCAGACTCAAGGCTATAGAGTGGTTGAGAGCAGGCACACTGGGGCCAGGCTGCCCGGGGTTCAAATCTCAGCTCTGCCACTTCCTGGCTGTGTGACCTTAGACAAGTCCCTTTACTTCTCTGTGCCTCAATGTCCTCATCTGTAAAATGGGGATTATAAAGTACCAACCTCATAGGGTCATGTGAGGACTAAATGATAGACTACGATGCCTGGTACACAGTAGGCACTTTAGCAATGTCAGCCGCATATTGCCTGCTCTGGGAGTGGACAGGAGCCCAAAGACTTGTGGAAAATCCTGGAGGGAGCCCTGTGTTGGTTCTTGTCCCAACAGTGAACAAAAACGCCAACCCAGACCCACTGCCAAAAAAAGAGGAAGAGAAGAAGGAGGAGGACGACCCTGGGGAAGACGGCCCCAAGCCCATGCCCCCCTACAGCTCCATGTTTATCCTGTCCACGACCAACCCGTGAGTATGGCCTGCAGCGAGGGCACGGGGGCCTGGGGCTCCTCCCACTGGGGCGGCAGAGGTCAGGCCAGACAGGGGGTTGTGAGGGACAGTTGCCTCCAGGACCACCATCGGTGCAAGGGGTTCTTTGGGCAAATTGAAAAATGATGCTCCAAGGGCCAGACGGTTATCCCAGGTGGTTAGAGCCTGGTGCCAATAACACCAAGGTCCAGGGTTCCATCCCTGTACCAGCCAGCCACCAAGAATAACAAAAAGAAAAATGGTGTTCCTTAAGCCACATAAGATGAAAATGTGTTATACTTCGTTGGAAGAGATCCTTTCCTGCCACGAGCTAAAAAAGTTATTGTCACAAATATCCAAATCTACACTGTCTGTGATATCAGAGGCACCCCTTAGAAATGGCTGCCTTGTGCAGTGTTCAACCTGCATAACTGTACATGGCAGCCCTGGACCCTGAGCTCTGCTCCTAACCTCTGCTCTGCAGGGGTGTTGGATTCTGGGCAGATGGTCTCTGAGTTTCATGGCCTTCTGTCGTGGGCATCTTTGGGGAGGATAGATTATTTAGGAGAGAAATTCATTACGTGAATGTCATGGTGGCTCAGAGGTTGTTTTAAGATTGCATTTTTCCAAAGGGTATTTCTTGGAAACCTGATCCCTCAAAATGCTTTGTGACAAAGAATTGTGTCAATAAAGCTGGGAGGAACCACTTTCTATAACCTGCCTCTCAGAGACTCATCCTGTGCGTTTACTTTTTTATTTAGCTGAGTTATCTATTTTACTAAAGAAACACTTATGTGGCACTTAGTACCAGGCACTGTTCTGAGTGCTTTATAAATTAAGATATATGTTTTGGTTTTTTTTAAATAACTGTATGGGGTTGGTACTATGCTTATCGCCATTTGACAGATGAACAAACTGAGGCCCAGAGAGGTGAAGTCACCTGCCCAAGGTCACACAGGAAGCAAGTGGGAAAGCTGGAGTTTGAGCCAAAACATACTGGCTTTAGCATCCCTGTTCTTAACCACTCAGCCCTGCTGCCATTCCTACAGGCTTATGGCATATTTATTACTAGCTCCATCTAAGAGGTTAAATGGAGTTAAACAAGTACTTAAGTATTATGTCATTAACACATTGAAGTTTTTGACAAGGTTTGCAATTCACAATTTCAATAACTAATTTTTTGGAGCCCCTGCCGTGTGCCAGGCACATATGAACCCTTTCAGTCCTCACACTCCTGTGAGATAGATGCTATTATTATGGCCATTTTACAGATGAGGGCACTGAGGCACAGAGAGAATAAATAACTTGCCCAAGGTCACACAGTTAATTTTTTTTTAAAAGGAAAGAAAGAAATCTACTTAACTCATAGATTCCCAATTTTGCTTGACCCTAGGACATTTTATGCATGAAAAACCTTTTTTTTATCTCCTACAGAATCAAGGACAATATTTCTTCAACCCAGCTTGAGAATCAAGATGTTCCAAGAGGGTTGTTGGGGGGTGATAGGAACTTTGATAAACAAAGAATGTGAATGTTTTTCCTAGCTGAATGTTTTTCCTCTTGCCTTCTTGGGGTTTCAGGACCCAGAGAGGACCCCAGCTGAAGGAGGGTGTAGGGCACTGGGAGTTGGCGATCTCAGGTAGTGGTAGGTGTCATGAGATTATAGAATGAAAGGGCTTGTGAGACGATGGTCTGAGTGGACCTCTGCACACCCACCTGTCTTCAACAGCCTTCGCCGCCTGTGCCATTACATCCTGAACCTGCGCTACTTTGAGATGTGCATCCTCATGGTCATCGCCATGAGCAGCATTGCCCTGGCCGCTGAGGACCCTGTGCAGCCCAATGCACCGCGGAACAATGTGAGTCCCCTGAGAAGGCCCCTTCCCAGCCTATGGGCCACTTTCTCCTGTATCCAAAACGTTCATAGCTAGGGCAGAAGGGATGTCAGGGGCACCCTTGGGCATAGCCCCCATGGCTGCTGGTTGAAAGGAAAAAATTCCGATTCTTTAGGGACACTCTTGAGAGCAAGGTGATCCTAAAGGAGGCAGTAGGTCTGTAAACCTAACAGGGAGAAGGTGACCCAGAGTGGCTGCGGCTGAAAATTGTTGGACACTCTGGTGGGGGAGCGAGACTGGCTGGTTGTGCGTGATCTGCATGGAATATGGTGAGTCCTCAAGCACTGGGTGCTCAGAGATGGTCCCCTCAGCAGTCAGGCCTCACCAAGTAGACTTCTCCATTTTGACACGAAGCTTTGAAAGAAAGAACTATTTGCCTCAGAAGTGCAACCTAAACTTGTAGGTTTTTGGAGAACGTCCCTTTGGGGGGACCCAGGGTCTGCTAACAGCTAACAGTCCCTGCTAATTGAGTGCTTGCTATGTTCCAGGCACAACCCAGGCACTCGACATGTGGTTTCTCACTTAACCCGCACAAAAACCCTCCCAGATATCCCCCTTTGACAGATGGGGAAACTGAGGCTCGGGGGTGGTGAGGGTTGGTAAGTGACCTGCCCAGGGTCACACAACAGAATTCCAATTCTGTATCCCCTAGAGCTCCCACTTCTTTTCTCAACCATCTGCATTTATTGAGCACCTAGTGTATGCCAGAGCTGGGCATGCATCACCCCACTGAGTCCTGCCAAGTGGTTGCCCAAACTGAGGCACCAGCAGGTGAGGGGACCTCACCCATGGAGAGGTGGGCAGGGGCCTGACCACAGCACCTGGCAGAGGCTGGACTGGTGGCAACTGCTTCACCATCTTCCTCCCTGTACAGAGCCCAGGGTGCATTTTCTGCCACCCTGGCTAAGTAGGTTAGGACCTTGGTGAGCCTGGCGAGCCCCATCCATCAAGTCTGCCTGCAGCTTACCAAGCTTTTTTCCTTCCTTCGCCAGCCTGGTGGCCCCCTGGAGACCTGATGGGGGAGAAAGGAGGAAATAATTAGAACACAGCTCCCAAAGGAAGCTAGTACCTGGGCGGGGCCAAGGCCTTGCTGCAGCCAGCTCAGTGTTTCCTGCTGCCTGGTTTCCCCCAGAGGCCTCCAGGAGCCAGGCCCGGGGAGGAGGTATCCGGAGAGGGTTTGCAAAGCCCCTGCCAACTCTAGGAGGGTGCAGGAGCCCTTGCATTTGGCAGGGAGGGTATGGGTGGCCCAGGGTGTAGCTGCAACTTGCAGGGCTATAGGGAACCTGGGCAGGGCTCAGACCAGCCCCCATGGAATGTTTGCAAAGTGTCGGCTCCCCCGGTCCCCTCCCTAGTCTGTCTGGCAGTTGAAACCTTTCCTCAAAGCCCTCCTCCCCTCTACAAGAACACGGTGGCCTCATGCAGCTCACACCCCCCTGTAACCACCACCAGAGCAAGAAATAGAACAAAAACGTCCTGACCACATGTGCCTCTTCAATCCCCCCTTCCCTCTTGCCTTCCTTCCCTCTAGAGCTGAGATTCTCAAGTGGGGACAACATCTGGAGACATTTTTGGTTGTCACAACAGGATGGGGGGAGGTGGTGCTACTGGCATCTGGTGGGCGGAGGCCAGGGACACTGCTCAACACCCTACAGTGCACAGGACACCCCCATCGTAGAGAACAGTCCCACCCCAAATGTCAATAGTGCTGAGTCTGAGAAACCCTGCCTTGGAGGTAACCACAGCCCCAACTTCTGGAATGAGCATTCCTTAGCCTTTCTCATTTTCCTGCCTGCACATGTGTGCACCCTTAGACACTAGTGTTTATCTTTGCCTGTTCCTAACATTACACAAGTGGGATGAATCTCTGCCTCATGTCTGCAACCCAACGTTGTATCCGCCCAACACTGTATCCACCCAACGTTGTAGCCACCCCTGTTGTTGAAGGTAGCAGTAGTCATTCTTTATTATGCTGTTTAATATTCAGTGTGTGACATGATTGGTTCATCCATCCTCACGCTAGTGGACGTTTGAGTTGTTTCTGGGTTTGAACACTGTCACCACCCCCCACCCCCCAATGTGTGTCCTGGGGTGTCTGGACAAGAATTTCTCCAAAGTATAAAACCAGAAATGGAGTTTCTAGGTCAGAGAATTTGCAAGTGGTCAGCCTCCCTAAATGCAGCCGGAATGTTTACTGGATAAGACAGTGACACTTGCTGCAGTAGCACATGGGGACTCCAGGTGCTCCATATCCTGTCAACACTTGGTACCGTTGTTGGCTTTTTAATTGGGGAGGTCTGCTGGGTGTGGAGTGGGGCTTTGATTCGTGTCTCTCCAGTGATGAATGAAACCCAGCACCTTTTCAGATTAGATTGAGCCATAGGAAATGCCATTCATATGGATCAAAAAGATCTAAGTACGTTCGGCCCTCCATGCCCGTGAGTTCTGCGTCCGTGGATTCAACCAACCATGGATCGAAAATACTCAAAAAAAAAAAAAAAAATTACATCTGTACTGAACATGTATAGACATTTTTCTTACTGTTATTTCCCAAATAATACAGTTCAACAACTATTTCTGTAGCATTTACATTGTATTAGGTATTATAAGTAATCTAGAGCTGATTTAAAATATGCAGGAGATCTGGCCGGTTAGCTCGGTTGGTTAGAGCATCGTGCTGCCACCAAGGTCCAGTGTTTGATCCCTGTACTGACCAGCTGCCAAAAAATAATTAATTAAAATAAAAAATTTTTTTGATTTTAAAAATTAATCAAGTATACAGAAGGATTTGCGTAGGTTATATGCAAATACTATGCCATTTTATATAGTGGACTTAAGCATCCTCGGATTTTGGTATCTGTGGGGCTCCCGGAATCAATCCCTCGTGGATATTGGGGGGGGGGGTTGCTTCTTGGGGACTTTGCTGGGGGCCTCACACCCCAGTGACTATGGCTGGAGCAAGCCAATGATCCACATCCCCCATTGCTTTTACTCACTAGGTAGGGTTGAACCTAATTTATTGGTCTTTTGATTTCCTCTTGTCCAACTTATTAAGCTCCTCAGAATTTGATTCACCTTATTTAGCAAGTATTTAATAAGCAACAACTATGAGCCAGGCGCTGAGCTAAACATTAAGGATCGACAATCCCTCCCAGAGCCATGCTGTGCCCACCACCTGAAATGCTTTCCCACCACCACCACCCCCTCTGCCCAGCAAGATCCTTCAAGCCAAGCCCCTCGCAGCCACCCCTCACCCTGGGAAGTCAGCCCACCCGGCCCCTCTGGTCTCTGACTCCCCTTCAAGCCCCACACATAACGGGAATGTGAGTTGTGAGCACAGAGATCTCAGGGCCCAGCTCCTGCAGGACTCAGTACAGCCCCAGCTCCTCATGCATTCATTCAGCAAACACTTCTTGAGTGCCTACTGTATACCTGGCCCTGTACTATGAGCTGGAGATGTCACAGTGATGTCCCTGTCCTTGTGGGTGTGACACTCGGGTGAGAGAGATGGACAATGAGATTATTAATGACTAACAAATAGTTTGTCGGGAGGTGATAAACTCAGGGAAGAAGGGGGAAGGGAGAATCAACTGACCAGGGCGTGGCCATGGGGCAGGCAGGGAGAGACCGTGGTGGCCTCCAGTGTTTAGGAGAAACCACATGGAGATGATTTCTCATCCAGGAGGCCCAGCAGGGTGAGGGCACTGGAGGATCAGTCAGCCCTGAACTTCCCTGGGGCCACCTCTAGTCCACACAGGGCTTGGGGAAATTTTTAAAAGGCACCTTTCCCCTTGGTAAGCAGACCATCCTAATAGAGTGATTTTGTTGGGATTTGCTGCCATCTGCTGGACAGTTTTATTCACAACTTACAGATCTACACTATGAGATGGGGGTGGGAAGGGCCCTTGTGCGGTGCACGCCCTGCTCAACTGTATGTGGCAGCTGTGTTTCCTCCTCTAGGTAGAGACTCTGCTTCTTGGGGACTTTGCTGGGGGCCTCACACCCCAGTGACTATGGCTGGAGCAAGCCAATGATCCACATCCCCCATTGCTTTTACTCCATGCAGGTGCTGCGATACTTTGACTACGTTTTTACAGGCGTCTTTACCTTTGAGATGGTGATCAAGGTGAGTGTGGAGAGATCCAGGACTCCAAAGGATTCTGAGCCTTCAAGAATGCCACCCTGGCATGGAGGATTAGAAATGCCTAGTGTGTTTGAGGAGCAGCAAGGGGGCCGGTGTGGCTGGAAGGAATGAGAGAGGAGTGGGGAAAGGAGGGCAGAGAGATGGAAGCAGGGAAGTGATGGGACAGATCATGACTTGAGGGTGGCGGGGAGGACTTTGGCTTTTCCGTACTGGAGGTGGGAGCCATGGAGGGTTGTGAGCAGAGGAGGGACCTGACTCAGGTGTTCGCAGGCGCCCTCTGGTGGCTGTGGGGAGAACAGACTTGGGAGAGAAGCCAGGGAGGGTGGGAGCCTGGGGATCTGGGAGCAGGCAAATTGCACTGGCCCCAGTGGGCGACGATGGGGGTGGAAAAGGATGGTGGCCACAGAAGGGGTGAGAAGCAGGCAGATTCTTGAAAGTTTCAGAAAGCAGAGCCAGCAAGGTTTGCTGATGGATCCAGTGTAAGGTTTGAGACAGAGGAATGAAGGAGTACCCCCAGGTTTGGGCCCAAGAACCAGCAAATTGGAGCAGCCTTTCATGAGCTGGGGGCAGAGGGGCTGTCATCGCACAGATGCTCCTAACTCCCGGGGTCCTCTGGCCACTGCCCCATCCTTCCAGGATGAGGCCACATCGGCTCCCTGCCCTCCCCCCAGACTAGAAGGGTGGGTGCCACACCCGAGGGGGTGATGAGGGGTCTGAGCATCCTCTCTTCTCCCCCAACAGATGATCGACCTGGGGCTTGTCCTGCATCAGGGTGCCTACTTCCGCGACCTCTGGAACATTCTCGACTTTATAGTGGTCAGTGGGGCCCTGGTGGCCTTTGCCTTCACGTAAGTCTCCTCACGAGGCCTCCGCTTGCCTCTTTGCCCCCCGCCCCCAGCCTGGGGCCACCCATTGGATCCAGGGACATGTTCTCAGGGTGTAGAGATGGGGAGTGTGGGCTCTGGGGTGGCGGGAGGCATGAGCATGCCACCAGGAAGAGCTTCGACTGGCTTTTTGCATGACGTCCACCTTCTACCTCCTCACACAGCAATGGGCCTCAGCCACACCACCGACCTCTTGCTGTGCCGCTTTCTGTAGACTAGCCTCGCCAGGACATCTCATCCCCCTTCTGCTCCACAAGCTCTGCCCAAACCGCTGTCTCTTTGGGGAGCCCCTAAAAAGACAATCAGAAAATGAATGTGCATGAGAATTCTGAGCCCTGTGCCTGAAGGCCCTGTAGTTGTAGACCTGGTGACTCCCTTGTGTGTCTTTCACTTCTCCTGGCAGTCCTAGGACACTCTGCCTTCTGAAAGGCCATGCATCACCATGCAACTCCAAGATGGCGCCCTAGCTGTAGTGGCCATTTCAAGATGGCGCCTGAGTTCCGGGCATCCATTTCACAATAGCGCACTAAGGCTTAGTAGCCATTCTAAGATGTCATCTTAGTTGTGAGCATCCATTTCAAGGTGGCACCTGAGTTCTGAGCACCCATTCCAAAGTGGCACCCAAGTTCTGGGCAGGCATTCCAAGATGGCCCCTTAGGTGTGGGGAGCCATTCCAAGATGGCACCCAATTTCTGGGCACCCATTCTAAGATGGCACCCAACTTCTTGGCAGCCATTCCAAGATAGCCCCTGAGTTGTGGGGAGTCATTCCAAGATGGCATCCAAGTTCTGGACAGCCATTCCAAGACGGCACCCTAGTTCTGGGCAGCCATTCCAAGATGGCATCCAAGTTTTGGGCAGCCATTCCAAGATGGGCCCTGAATTGTGGGGAGTCATTCCAAGATGGCACCCAAGTTTTGGGCAGCCATTCCAAGATGGCATCCATGTTCTGGACAACCATTGCACAGTGACACCCAAGTTCTGGGCAGCCATTCCAGGATGGCACCTGAATTCTGGGTGACCACTCTAAGATGGCACCCAAGGGCTAAGCAGCCAATAGCCCTTAGGGCCTTGGGAGCTAATTAACAGTACATTCTTCACATTGTAGACATTTGGAGCAGAATGAAAAGACCTAATAAACCCTTAATGCAGAAATAAATCTTGGGGACCCAACCCATCACAGTGGATCATTCCTGGAAAGGAAGGTCTGGGAGGGATCCTCATTCCCATAGTGAGAAATCCAGGGTTCTTCTGTGCCTTGCCTCCTGGCTCCCTCCTTAGCAGATCTGGAGGGGCCTTTAAATGGTCTCCCTGACCAAACAATAAGGACTTGGTTCATCAAGAGGGCCAGAATGGTGGCCCATTTCCAATTTAAAGGCTAAAGTAGACCACTCTCAAGATTCTTCCTTGAGAACACAATGAGGTCAAGTTGTGCTAGAAGAACAGGAAATCTCCAGGGTTTCTGTATAACTCAGAGCTGGGGGAAATGTGCCATAAGGCTGGGGAGGCTGATTGTGTTTCTGACTCTGGCCACACTTTCCCATCCCTCTTTCTCTTTGTCTTTTTTATTCTCTCCTCCTCTTTCTCTCTTCTTACTTTCTGTCCATCCTCTCTCTGTTTCTTTCCCCTCCTTCTCCCCACTTCCTTCCTCTTTTTAAAGTAATTGGGTATTTATTTGACTACTAGAGCAATGAAAGAGATTGTAAAAAAAAAAAAAAAAGTCAAGAGATTTGGCAATGCCATCATTAAGATGTTTTGTAGGTATAAATAAATAAGGACACAAACAATGCACAGCAAATTAGAGAGGAAAGATTGCCACAAATAAGACAAAGAACTTTTATGTCCTTAATATATAAAAAGCAGTTACAAATCAATAAGAAACACTAACCCTCAAAGGATAAATGGGCAAAGGATATAAACAGAAATTTTGTAGAGGGCTGATAACCAATAAAAATGGGGGGTGGGGGAATCAGCCTCATTGGAATTTAGAGAAAAGTAAACAAAAAATAAGATGCAATTTGTTTCCAGTCAAGTTAGCACCAATTTTATTTTTCAAAAAAAGATTTTTAGATAATACACCGCATATATGAGAATGTAATGAACTAAGTCCCTTTCTCCCTCCATCCTATTTGAGCAGATCCTTCAAAGTGGTGGGTAAGCACCATGTTAGAACCTGAGAAAATTTAAATTCTGAAAAGCCAAAACATTTTACCACCCTTGGCCTTCAATGATTCTCTCTCTGTCTCTCTCTCTCTCTCTCTCTCTCTTTCTCTCTCTCTCTCTCTCCTCTCTCTCTCTCTCTTTCTCTCTCTCTCTCTCCCCCCCCTCTCTCTCTTTCTCTCTCTCTCTCCCCCTCTCTCTCTCTGTCTCTCTCCCTCTCTCTCTCTCTCCCCTCTCTCTCTCTCTCTTTCTCTCCTCCCTCTCCCTCTCTCTCTCTGTCTCTCTGTCTCTCCCTCTCTCTGTCTCTCTGTCTCTCTCTCTCTGTCTCTCCCTCTCCCTCTCTCTGTCTCTGTCTCTCTCTGTCTCTCTCTCCTCTCTCTCTCTCTCTCTCTCTCTCTCTCTCTCTCTCTCTCTCTCTCTCTCTCTCTCTCTCTCTCTCGTCCCCCAATCTGCACCAGCTCTGGCCTATGTCTTCAGGTAACCTGAGTCTAACAGTCTGCCTCACCTGGGCCATGTGGCCTGGAAGTGGCTGACACTCTGCCTTCAGTCTGACACCAGGGGACCTGGTTTTCACTGGGGCTGGTCTTTAGACCCAGGCAGAGCTTAGGACAAAAGAAGGCAAGCTCAGGCAGGCGACATTCCCTCAAGCCCTCTAGGGCAGGGTCTGCCCAGCAGCCCCAAGTCTCCCAGGGCTCAGGAGGTGGCAGCTCAAGAGGGAAGGTGGCAGGTGATTCTGTGAGTGACATACACCTGTCCACACACAATGCCCCCCCTTTGCCAGCTGTGCCCTGGATGGTGGGTTTTGCCCTCCATGGCCCTCTCAGCGGCCACCACTGGCCATGACACAGCATAGGTGGTATCTGATCCCCTTCATATCATCCCTGTCATAGGGTCCTGCTGTCATCCCTCAAAGTTGACTCTCACAATTTGGGGAGGGGACGACCTTCAAAGGACCCAGGAGCAAACCCTTCAGCCACTGAGCTTTTGCCACGTTGGGTCATTGTTTACAACATGCTCTGTTTCTAGGTTCTCTGGGGTTACAATTAGCCTCTTCTTTAAGCAAATCTAATCCACAAAAACGAAAAACAAAAATTTTTTTCCACCCAAGAACAATAATCAGAATGATTCTTTGTGTTACAAAAGAATTCTCTCACAGGAAGTTGATACTTTTTGATTTTCAAGTTTTCTTTTTAAATACAGAGTTATATCTCTGCACTGGCCGGTCACCAAAATAAATAAATAAATAAATACAGAGTTTTACAAGAGCATTCGAAATTAGCCAACAACTCAGAAAGGTGGCAGCCTCCTTGTAGAGTCAAGCTTTTAACCTGTTCTCATGAAGTTGGTACAGGCATAAAGCCACCCCGCACCCTTGAAAATCCCTGTTTTGAATGGTTTTTAAAATTCCTACACAAGAAAAAGGTCGGGACTGGGATTTCAGGCCTTAGCAAACTTGCAGAAACTGGGAGGTGTGAGATTCTTCCAGTGGGCTCCAGGGATTCTTATGGGGTTTTGGAAGACCTGACAGCCATGGGTCCAGCAGGGAGTACCTTTGTATGATGGGCAAAAGGAGGGGAAAAGAGACCCTGAGTCCCCACATCTTTCATGCTGTCCCCACCTCACTGCCAAAAGTCCATCTGGCACTGCTGTTCTTCCCCCAGGGCAGGGCTGCAGGCCCAGCACGGCTGGCCAAGCACCTTGATCAAGCCGCTCCTGCATACCCAGAAGTCAGACTCCCAGAAAACCAGAGAAGGAGCCCTCAAGCTGCTACTTTTTTCCCAAGAAAAGTTTCAGAATCTTCCCCCTGGCTGCAGGTTTCTGGTCTCTTGTCTGAGAAGGTCTCTTGCTCTATGAGGACTTTGCTTACTGTCTTTCTCTGTTACGAGACGGATGTCACATTTGAGAGAGTAAAGGATATTCTGAGGGTCTCAGCCTGAGTGCTGAGCCCCGGGTGCTTTGCTTCTCTCCTTTCTGGTCATTTAACTTGCTCAGTCTGTCCTGTGTGCCCGACTCCTCATAGACAAGGCTGAGAACTCCAACAAGTGTTAAACTAACTTTATTGTTTTAGAACAAGGTCCCCCTTCCAAGTCTGCCTGTTTTCTGCCTAGATGTGCAAGTTCCTTACCCGTTCTGTGCCTCGGTTTCCCCATAAAAATGGAGAAGCTTAATTTGGTAGTAATAATAGTAATAGCTTACATTTATTTAATTTTCACAATAACAGCGTGAGAGTGGTGCTGTTATTATTCCCATTTTGTAGATGAGGAAACTGAGGCCCAGAAGAGTGTGAGGGAAGTGAGTCTAGCAAGATCACTAAGGTTGGGTTGAGAAGAGCTGCCCATCTGCCAGCCCTGCACATGAAGACTCACAGTCGGCAGAGTGAGACTCTGCAGCCCAGCAGGCCTGGGCTCTCTGGGGCCCTGGGAGAGCCGGGAGATCTAGAGGAAGGGACGTAAAGCCGTTCCCTTCCTTATCAAAAGGAATCTTGCTGTTCCAGCCCTTTGGGGTCAAGGCAAGGATTCTGCCCCAGTGCTGTGATTGTGACCCTGTCTCTGAAATGGGAAAACTATCCCTGTGGTTTCCCAAAGGATGTGTCGAAGCTCTCCTGAAGATTTCCACCCCTCCTGCACCTCCCTGAAATATCTGTGTGTATGTGTCCTGCTCCATCCGGTGTGTCCTATGTGTACGCGATCACTGTTAATGCACCATTTCATGAGCCATCACACGTTATCACGCTCTGTGCCTATGCATCGGGGCGGCCAACTGACATTTCTCAGCAGCTGGCGGATCATGATCCTGCCCTCACTGCCAAGAGTCCATCTGGCGCTGGAGCTCTTCCCCCAAAGCAGGACTGCAGGCTGGCACAGCTGGCAGCGTGCCTTGATCAAGCCGCTCCTGCGCTCTCAGGAGCCAAACTGTCAGGAAGCCAAGGAACGAGCCGTTGGGCTGCTATTTTTTTATCCTCATCCTCAAAACAGCCCCTGCCCCCGAAGGCATTATTTTTCTTATGCGTGATGAAATGGAAAAAAGATTAGAGTGCAAGACACACGCACCTGGGTTTGAATCTCAGTCTGCCACTTCCTGGCTGTGTTCCCTTGGGCAAGTGACTCTCCCTCTCTGGGCCTCAGCTTTCTCCTCTGGAAAATGGGCACAATGGTGCCATCTTCCTGCAGGCAAATATGGTGATGTTCAGGAGATACATATTACGCCCAAAGTCAGCAGATTAGGCAAAAATCACTATCATTGAAGGCTTCCCTGATCACCCACGAACTGCAATCTACACAATTCTATATATACAAAAATCTCTAGATGCACTGAACCTTGAGAACCACCGAGCTAGACTAAGGAAGAAAAGAGAGGGGCGATGTGCAAGAAAATCCACTGGGAATATTTGTAGGCATTTGAACCGTTCCATGTTTTTAAAAATATCACCAACTTGGCAAAGGGTGGTGGGGGGTAAACTCAGTAGTCTCTGCTTGGCGGTTGGGTTTCCTCCGTTCTGCTGGTGGTCGAGTCTTTCTAACCTGGATCTGCGGTCATTGTTGGAGGCTCATATGAAACTGATCTTGGGGCCGGCCCGTGGCTCACTCGGTAGAGTGTGGTGCTGATAACACCAAGGCCCCGGGTTCGGATCCCATATAGGGATGGCCGGTTAGCTCACTGGCTGAGCGTGGTGCTGACAACAGCAAGACAAGGGTTAAGATCCCCTTACCGGTCATCTTTTTTAAAAAAAAGAAAGAAAAAAAGAAACTGATCTTGAGTTCCAAAGATGAGCTGCATAAGGAACTGCAGCCAAACGCTGAGAGCTTTCCCCAGGCTCGTGTGCTCAGAGGACCGTGCAGAGTTGCCTCTAATTTCACCCCATGCTGGAACTCTGCTGACCTGTGCTTCGTATCTTGAAGAATAAAGCCAAGGTCATGGCTATTGTTCACTGAGTGTCAGAATCCCACAGGCCTATTTTACAGATGAGGTAATTAGAGGCAGAGACAGGATTCAAACCCAGATCAGGTCCCCCCAACTCCAAACCCGGCAACTCTTAAGACATCCCAAAACTGTCCAGCACCAGAACCTCTGGAGAAAAAGGGTTTGTTTCTCCAGCTCTTGGCAGTGATTTTCAGGGGCAAAATCGCCTTTGGTCATTGACGACTCTGGCTGTCCCGCTACTCGGAGATTTGGCTTTCTTAGGTGCTGTTCAGCAGTGCCTGGGGCCTGCCGAGGCCGGGGGTCTGAACGGGGGGCTTCCAGATGGAAGGATGAGCATCAGCCAGAGCCAAGAGCCTGATGCTGCCACTCCTGGTGCCCGGGCAGGGCAGGGGAGTGCTCAGGTGTGCGTGTGCGTATGTGTGTGTTCTGTGTTCTTTCTTCTGAGGCCACTTACGATCTGTCTCTCCCTCCGACGCCACCTCTCCAGGAGCAGTACACGGTAAAGTTTCTCTCTGTCTCTCTCTCTTTCTCTCTCTCTCATTCTGTCTCGCGTCCTCCACGCCCTGGTGCAGCCACGTTGGTTCAGGGCCTGTTTCCGTGGCCTTGTGTTCTTGCTGCTGTCCTGTCGCTTGGAATGACCAGAACACACTCCCCAGGGAGGAGGATTCTCAAGGGGTCTTGGCTGCTGCCTCTCACCATGACCCCTTGAACGGAACAGAATGGGCAGGGGTGTCCTCCCCAGGGTCCAGTTTCAATAGGGCAGACAAGCTAGGGTGGGACGGTTATCAGAGCAGTGAAGGTCTCCAACCTCCCAGATGAGAGAAATGTTGAAAGTCCAAACAGCCAGGAACTGGGCTCTGGAAAAAGGAAGTAACCGCTGACCCCCAAGGAGCATCTCCATTCTCAGTAAAGTGGTTGGCAAATCTGGTTGTTCTCTGTGAAATCATAAACTCCCCTCGGTGCCTCAAGAAATAGGATTATTTTCTCAGTCTCTCCAGGGAGAGAGAGATACCTCCTGGGAGAGAGAGCTTTGAAACAGCCATGGAATCATTTTCACATGGGGGTACACATGTGCCCATGGAGGTGTGTTCCCAAGTGTCAGCCACTTGGTGCATCAAGATTTTAGCCAGCTCCACGTGCAACCTGGAGGTCCACTAGCTTGATATTTTTTCCACCAACATATAACTAGACTTAAATTTAGTTTTGAAAGGGAACTTTATATCACCCTGATTACAACAGTAACGCTAACCTTAGGTAGAACCACACTGCAAAAGTGAATCCAATAGGAAGGAAACAGCATTGTTGTGTTCGAGCTGGGTTCTTTGTTAAAAGGGAGTTAGTGAGTGTTAGAGAAGTGTTAAAGACCTATTAGCATCTAGCAAGACTTCCTCTGTGATAAAAGCAGAGTATCTGGAAGACACTTGAAGAAGCAGCAGCCGTTTCCCCGTGTGATCCAGTTATTTCATTCTGTGTCCCTGTTCTGCTTAAAATTATCTCCGTGACTGTACCCATGTGTCTCACGCTTGGAGGGCACAGCCTTTAGATAATAGTGATGATGTTGGTGTAAAAAGGAAAAAAAACGTATTCAGACATATGTCTTTCTGCCTGGTGGTTTAAAATCCAATTCTCCCCTTTATTCCCTGAAAAATGAGAGAAAAGAACCCTTAAAAAGCAAGTGGTGTGAAGAATGATGTTTTTACACCTGGATACCCAGACACACGGTGGTGGGGGTCTCTGGGGCAGCTCTGCCCATGACCCAAGAGGTAAATATAGGGGGACATCTGCTAGGAGACCCCCCGACCCCCAGCAAAGACTTTGACCTGGATCTATTCACACATGTCCTGAGACCACACACCAGACGCAGCCTAGGGGCTGGGACAAGAACCAGGATTAAAGGGGAAATTAACACAAAGAAGAACAAATCACAATGTGAGTCTCTGAGTTTCCTCTCTAAAGCCGGCAGCCAAAGACAGAAACAAAGATGACTCCAAAACAGCAATAGGAGCTGGCAGAGCCCAGAGGTGAACAGTCAGGGGAGGAGGGGAGGCTGTCAGAGGAAGGGACGTTGAACTTGGGCTTTGAGGGCTGCGTAGTTCTGTGAATGGAGAAGGGGAGGAAGGGCATTTCTGGCAGCAGGAACAGTATATGCAAAAGCAGACAGGAAAAAAAAAAAAAAGAAGCCGACAGAGGCAAAAGACTGCAGCTGGGGTTTGGGGTGTGTAGCAATAAAAGGGAACAGAAAGATAAAGGTAAGTTGGGTTAGATTTCAAAGAGCCTTGAATGCCGCACCAAGAAGTTTGCACTTGGACTTCTGAGAGTTCAGATGCTCCACAAGGATTCTGAGCAGGAGAGAGACAGGATCATTGGCTCTGCTCACTGTGTGCAGAAAAGAGGGAAGAAGAGAGAGACTGGTGGTGGGGAGAAAGTTTGGAGATGGGTGGTGGGGGTCTGACCTAAGATGGTGGCCAGGAGCGGATGTGGGATGTTTAGAAAGGTGACCCGTTGGGGAGGGGATGGAGGCCCCAGTTGAATGGGACTCTCAGATTGCTGGCTTGGGCAACCAGGTGGGTGGTGGGTACCATGAACCACAAGCCCTTGATGGCCACACCCAATGTCCTTCTCTTGAGGAGCCTGAATCACGGTTGGCTAAGGGTGTCATGGCATGCCTGGGGCGGCAGACCCTGGACTGAACCTCTCTGTGCCACTTTGGCAAAGATGAGTTACAAAGGCCCTTGGAAGAATGAGGCAGACACTGCAGCAGTGGTCAACATCTGTGTCCAAAAGGACCAGCATCTGGTTATTTCCTCTCCTGTGGCCTCGGGGTATAATGGGGGGAGGGGGCGATAAAGGCCACTTTAAGCATCTTTTTGAATCCCTTTGGATGGGAGGGGGGGAGTCTCATTTTCTTAGAACCCACCAATACCACCTTTAAACAGGGTGCACAAGGGACCCCCAAACTCCCAGACCAAGGGCTTTTCTGAAAAGTAGCTGTGCAGGAATTGAGGAAGGGACAGCTAGGTCCCCTATGCAGAGTCTGAAGGCCACCCCTTGCAGCTACTCAGGCCCAGCCAGATGGTGGAAGGCCCTGCATAAACCCTGAAACCAGAGCCACAAAAAGCCATCTGCTCACTCTTTCCCGAGCCCAAATTTAGCAGGTGACCTGGACCGCTCTTCACCAGAAAAGTCAGGGCTGTGCCAGGCTCACTGCAAACTCCTAGGCCTGGGAGGGTGGGGTCGCTTGGAGCTGTGAGCTGCTCCCCACCCAGCCTGACCTCTGCTCCCTGTCTTCCCATCTGCCCTCCCTAACATCCTCCCACAGTGGCAATAGCAAAGGAAAGGACATCAACACGATTAAATCCCTCCGAGTCCTCCGGGTGCTACGACCTCTTAAAACCATCAAGCGGTTGCCAAAGCTGAAGGTGAGATTGGGGGCTGTGGGAGGGCCTGTCAGGGTTACCATGTACAGTCAAGCAGGTTGCACACTGCTCAAGGACACCACATTGAAGGAAGTTCTGATAACATTGCAGACATCACGCATTCTATGGATATACGTATTACTACAGCTTTCCAGCAGATGGCAGTAAAGTGAGCTGCTCTAACAAAATCTGTATTCTATGGCAATGTTCCATTAGGTGAAATGTCTCTAGGGTAGGATTCCTTTTCCTAATTCACAGGAAGGCATCGTATGGATAAAACAGGGCATCAACATAATCTGGGAAGCAGAAACTAGGTTTCTCATCCCACATAACCTTTGACTTTTCACCTACTTGTTCTAGGCTCCAATATCTCCCATTCCAAAATAACATGGACCAGCATTTCCCAAAAGTTTATCATTCCAAGAAGAACACAAACTCCAGTCATTCCAGCCGTCCTTTTCAAATTATGCTCCTGTATTATACCTATATTATTAATTATACCTACATTGTATCTTACATAATATGCTTCTTTAAATCAAGAGACTTTGTTTTTACTTAGGTGCATTTATTTTAAAAGGAAATGTTATGTCAGGTTTCTCAAGTTGAAAAACCAGAGACCACTGTTAATAGAAGGTACAACTAAGTATCTGTTCAAAGAGAAAAAGATACTGTTATTAAAATCTAGCCAAATGTGTTTGCCTGCCAAAGGCCTTGACTGGTAGATACTTGCTCTTTCTTGGTTAAAAAAGAAAAGGGTGGATGTTAGATTTTAACACAGCAGCAACTAAACAAGACTTTTTCCTTCACTCAAAAGGATTGAAAGAGAACTGGAGAAGGAGTAACGCTGTTACCATGCGATTCATTGTTGGGATCCGGTGTCACCTAACAGTTTCTCTGAATTCCCATTGAGGGGGTGTGCTCCCAAGATTTTGAAAATATTGCTAACAATGTCCCTTTTTTACTGATGAAAGTTAAGAGAGGAAACGGGGCTGCCCTTTGGAAGTGAAAGCTGGCCTTGCAATACATGGAATGTCAGCAGTATTCGATTCAGTGATTCCTCTCCATTTTCTGGGTCACAGCCCCCTTTGAAAGTCCCATGAAAGCTATGCACCCTCTCCCCTGGGGAAACCTCGCTATAATGTCTGTAGATTTCATGATGCCCACTGTGGTTAGAACCGATTGTGATTAGATGCAGAATGGAACTCTTAAAAGCTCAAAGAGAGTCCAGGAGCCCCTGGGTAGTGTCCAAAGAGCAGAACTGCAATTAGTGAGGTGGGAGACATTTCAGGCCAGGACCCCCGCCTTCTCTGGGGGAGGATGGAAGGATGCCATATTAACCAAGGCAGAATGTCCCAGGCACACAGAGTCATCTCTCAAATCCAGAGAGCCTCTGATTCTCGGAGCAAGAGGAAGGGAACCGCCACACCAGCTGCTGGGAGACAGGTAGCGGCATGAGACAGGAACACAGAATCAACAGGAAATGAACTCTGCAGTGAGGTCTTTCCTCTTGCCCTGCAGAGCCATGTGCTGTAGAGCCACTCAGAGAAGTGGCTGCATTTCTTAGGGGTTTTAGATGCATAGAAAGCCAGGATTGGGTCCAACCCCAACACTTATTTCTCAGAGTTGGGTGGCCTTACCTGGAATATGAGGTTGATAACAGCAGTACTTTGGTATTACGGGCTGCTGGAGGCAGAGGCTGGCAGGGCCCCAGTCTCTCACGCTTTGTCTCGACCCCACCCGCAGGCCGTGTTTGACTGTGTGGTGAACTCGCTCAAAAACGTCTTCAACATCCTGATCGTCTACATGCTCTTCATGTTCATCTTCGCCGTGGTGGCTGTGCAGCTCTTCAAGGGAAAGTTCTTCCACTGTACTGATGAGTCCAAGGAGTTTGAGAAAGACTGTCGGTGGGTCTCGCCTCTTCTGGGTGTCACCGTTGGGGCTGGCGGGTGCGGGTAGAGCAGAGGGCTAGAAACACCGGCCGCTTGGGCTGGGAGACTGGAGTGTTGGGTGTTGGGAGTGACTCAGTTTCATCCAGCTTGAATCTGGAGTACAGAGAAAAACATTTTTGGCAATTTCAGCCCCCGCCCATCACTGCAGGATAAGCTGGTTGCTTGATTTTCAGTCACCACCTTTGTCAAGTGGGGGATATTAATACACACCCCCAGTCCCTCATTTGAAACCTTTGCAGGCAGATGTGTTTCAAAATTCAGAATATTTTGAGATTTTCAAAAGGTTATTCAGGGCATGTTTCATATAAGGCATAACACCACCAGCTGGGTCTGAGGCAGCTCTGTAATCAAACACAATATTTCTGCCATGAAACATGTACAGTCGTGCCACATAATGACATTTCAGTCAGCAATGGATCACGTATACAGGAATGGTCCCATAAGACTGTAATGGCTGTATCGTGTAGCTTAGGTATGTACTAGGCTGTAGCATACAGGTTTATGTGAGCAGACTCTATGATGCGTGCACAATGACAAAGTCACCTAACAATGCACTTCTCAGAACACATTCCTGGAGTGAAATGACACGTGACAGTAACTGTCTGCACCAAGTGGAATAAATAATGAGTGTCAAGAGTTTCACTTCCAAACAGGTCAGGTTTTGTTGCCAAATAAATTAGGTCAGGGATCAACAAATTTTCAGTCAAGGGCCAAGTAGTCAATTTATTCAGCTTTGCAGACCACAGTCTCTTTGACAACTACCCAGCTCTGATGTTTTAGCGGGAAAGCAACGGTTTTGTTGCCAAATAAATTAGGTCAGGGATCAACAAATTTTCAGTCAAGGGCCAAGTAGTCAATTTATTCGGCTTTGCAGACCACAGTCTCTTTGACAACTACCCAGCTCTGATGTTTTAGCGGGAAAGCAACTACAGATAATAGGTAGAAGAATGGGTATGGCTGCATTCCAATAAAACCTTATTTCTAGAAACTAAACTTTGAATTTTAGATAGTTTTTACTTGCCATGAATGCATTCTTTGGATTTGTTTTCAACCATTTAAAAATGTAAAAACCAGGGCTGACCGGTTAGCGCAGTTGGTTGGAGCACAGTGTTATAACACCAAGGTCAAGGGTTCAGATCCCTGTACCGGCCAGCTGCAAAATAAATAAATTAAATTAAATTAACATTAAACAGCAAAAACCACTCCCAGCTTGTAGGCCGTACAGAAATAGTCAGTGGTCCAGGTTTGGTCTGTGGGCTGCAACTTATCAACCCCTGAGTTAGGAGGAAAATGTTTGATTTTCAGAGCTTTCTGGGTTTTAGGCTGTGGATAAGGGGTGGTGGACTTCTGGTCCACCCCACCCCCATCACAGGATCATTCTCACAGTGAAAAGCTCTGAGCTCAACCTGAGAAAGTGCTAAGCCTTTAACTAACTAAGCCGTCAGTAAATATCGCTATCATTGCCGGTATAAAGTGTTACTATCCAGCGAATGGTAACTTGTTCTGTTAGTGTCTATTTCTTGAAATTGGAAGGATTCTAGACATTCGGGTGGGAGTCTGGGGCTAACTCTTGTTTTCTACCCTGAAAAGCTAAGGGAGTGTGTCTGCTGTCTTAGTCTGATGAGCCCAGAAATGTCCCCTGTGTCTCCCTTCCTGCTCCTGACACCCCACCAACAAACCTGAGGCTCTTGCCCTCAGGACTAGAAGATTTCAAGTTGGAAGAGGGTGCTGGACTCTAAGATGGCTCTCCCACTGGGTGCAGGGCTGTGGCATCATCAAAGCGAGTTTGTCTCCAAGTGGATGCACACATACCCCCCCCCCACAAAGCCCAGGGAGAAATAGGGGGTGTCACTACCTCCGGGACTGAGGGAGGCAGCGTTGGCTGGTGGGCCCTTCTTCCTTCTCCCATCTCTGGTGGCCAAAGACTAGTGCCCAGAGCCCTCCTCCCCCCATTTGCTAACAGTCCCCACTCTCTGTGGCAGTGGCAAGTACCTCCTCTACGAGAAGAACGAGGTGAAGGCACGAGACCGAGAGTGGAAGAAATATGATTTCCATTACGACAACGTGCTCTGGGCCCGGCTGACCCTGTTCACCGTGTCCA